GCTGGAAGGGACCTCAGGAGGTCACTTAGTCCAGCCCAATCTGAACCATCCCATAAAGTGTTTGTCTAATCCACTCCTGAAAATGTCCAGGGGTGGAGATGTCACAGCCTCACTGGGTAGCTCACAGCGAGGGAGCGCTTCGTGATCCCCAACCTGAATTTCCCCTGCTGGCATTGGAGACCATTGTTCTCGGTCCTGTTCCCTATGCTGGCGGAGAATAGTTTGTCTCCCTCCTCTTTATAACCACTCTGCCAGTATTTGAAGCCTGTCACCCCCGCCCCCAGCAATCTTCTCTTCTCCAGACTAAATAATCCTAGTTCTGTAAGTCTGCCGGTAACCTTTATTGTATAAGTGTAGCCTTGCTTAGATTTATTTAGGGGGAAATGAAGAATTGGCCTTTAGTTTTGGTGACGCACTGATTATTTAGGTTCTTTAAGCACTGAAAAGCAAGTCGGTCACAGGGGAATAAGAGTGAACCCAATGCTGTTTCATCATGTGGCATTTAAATACTAAATGAGAGGCAGATGTCAGCTGGTCTCCCCCCTTTTGCATGCGTTTGCCAGTAAAACTGCAAACTTGGCACGCGCATGTGTGTTTTTTGCCGCCTCTAGTGTGCCGCTGAGCGGGGGGTCCTGTTTCTCTTTCTGAAGATGCTTGGTTTTCAGCTGGTGACGAATGTGAATGTGAGGTGACTATGTGTGACCTGGAAGTCTGTGTAATTCAGATGTATACGCCTGTGCGTACACACACGTACCCTCTATGCGGAGCACAGGAAGAACCCCTATGTTTAGCTGGCCAGGTCCCATTATAAAAAGGATGGAAAAAAAATTTCCATTCACTTATCTGTGGCTCAACGGCCTCTTTGAGGCTCAAAATACTGGTACCTTCACCTCCCATGAGTTGCAATGGGAGCTTGAGGCACTCAGCATCTCCGCAGTGCAGGCCCACATCGACTAGTCCTGAAAATCTCATTTGTGTGTGGATTTTCTCTCTCCATAGGCTAGAGAACCAGGTGATTGTACTTCTCTGCTTATTCGCACACCTTACAGCCCCACCACACATTCAAATTAAAGCTGGGTAGAAACCAGCTATAAAGTTGTTACACCTTTTCAAGCACCGGCTTTGGAGATGGCTGGCTCTTTATAAAACTGGGTGGACACTTTTATGGTGTGATAACTACTTTGCAAATGTGGCAGGTCTAAATTTTATTGCCTGATTTATTAGTTAATTATGGAATGTGTGGCAGGGCCCCGGTGTATGTTTGGCATAGAAGCAAAGGGCTAGAAAGGAGCCTAAGGGTCATCTAGTCCAGGGGTGTCAAACTCCTCTGGTCCTGTGGGCTGGAGGAGGGTCTCTGGGCTGGTCTGCGGGCCAGTATAGACCATGCCTGGAGCCCTGTGCAGCACGTGCCCCAGACCGACTCCAACCTGCTGCACGGAGGCTGTTGTCAATCCATCCACCAAAGGGCAGCAATTGAACCTGAGTCTCCAGACTCTCGGTCTGATGCTGCACCATCAGAGCTTCTTTCTCCCCATCGTTATGGGTGCGAAGAGCTTGCCTGAAAAAAGCTCGACCGACTGGGCTTGATGGTGCAGCTGACCTTACCAGTGGTCTGCGTCCATGCACAAGGATGGGTTGAAGCGAATCTAATCGGCAGCCTGTGGTTATTGGTGGCCTCCACTTTGCAAGGGCAGTTTTTGGGGAGGGGAATACTACATGTTCCAAGTGAGGGGCTGGCCAGAGGGTCCCTTTCAAAACCCAGTTGCTTCAGCTGTAAGGAGCAGGCATCACCCAGCACTTACCTGAGCGTGGAATTGGTCAAAGGTCATAACTGGGCCAAAGAAGAAGAAGGGGAGGTAGAAGTTGTACTTCAGCAAGTTGACGATGGAGTAGATCCCCTCCTGCCTCTCGCAGTTCTCCAGCGCCAGGCTCATGCAGCGCATAATGGTGAAGCCACTTCCTCCATAAAACAGAACATCTTGAAGATCAAAAGTTCCCGTTACAAACCCATTCTGGACAGAAAAGAACAGTTACGGCAGGGACCGGCCAAAACGGTAGTTCAAAAGCTTCCTGGCTGCAGTGGGCAATGCATGCACCCAGGTCTCACTCCATGCACTTTTTACTCCATGAACGGTCTCTTATATTTGCATAGCATCCCCGCCTAGCTTTTGAGAGCACAAGAAACCCTGATGGCCTTCTTGTCTCACTTCCTGCAAAACCAAAGCCTTTCCCATTTTACAGATGGGGAAAACTGAGGCGTGGTGAGCCAAACTCCCAGTCATTAAACTTCATTTGCGCTCTAACAGAAACACGTCCAGTCCTGATATAAAGGGAGAGGGAGACCCCTTCACAGCCTGGGTAAATTGTTCCAATGGCTAACTACTCTCACCTGCCACATCACTTAGGTGTTTGGACCTTATATCCAGAAACAGTACTGAAGCTTTAAACTTTAAATCCATCCTAGCATAGCAGCTTAGCACATGTGAGCTGTGAGGCCCACTTAAGTGATGTGTCGGTGTTGTAATGACCTTCAAAATGTGGGCGAACTTCACCCTTACCAGATGTTATACATAGACTCACTTCATCTGCTACTGCCTTGACGCCTCCCTGGGAAGGCACGCAATTGCTAGCCAGCCTATGCAGGTGCCTTGAATGTTAAATTGTAGCTGATATATTGCAAGGGGGATTTAGATGAGTGGAATATAATTGCCAGAACTGGGATGGGGCTAAGGACACTGGGCAAGCGCTTCTTGTAGATGCAAAGGTGCCACGGAGTATGACTGGCTTTTCACCACCCAGTCCTCTGGTTTACATCTTTAGGAGTTGTGGGCCCAAGCTCAGATCCTCTAAAGTATTTAGGTGCCAGATTCAATGAACTTTTCTCTTACTGCCTTGTATTCCTAGCATGGGGAATCAGCGGGTGTTGGGTGCCCAGATGCCTTAACCCTGTGAAAAAATCAAGCCACATTTGTCCGTGGATAGGCAAAGCTTTGGTCCTAAGCCTCACCGTACTCCTGTAACACAGAAAAGTACCGCTGGCTTTGATTCAGCATGTTACTAAAGCAATAGTAATAGCTTATTCATTCATATACCACACACACCTTCTTCCCAAAATTTAATGATTGAAAATTGGGGTACGTCTTAAATGGGGAAACTTATTCTGCACAATTTTGTGAAAATAATATTTTTTTCTTTATTCCTTCTTTCCAGCACGCATCTTATTTGGGGGATAAATACGGTAATACCTTGTCCTTGTTTAGTATTTTTCATCCATCGATCCCAAAGGGCTTTACAAAGATTAGCATCTGCATCTTACAGATGGGAAAACTGAGGCATAGTGAGGCAAACTGACCAAGGTCACCAGCAAACTAGGGGCAGAGATGGGCATAAAACCCTGATCTCCTGAGTCCCCGTCCAGTGCCCTGGCATTAAGCCAACATTGGGACCATCCACGGGTTTAAGACTGCTTGTATCTAACTGCTTTGCTAATTGGAACGATTAGTGCCTCAGTGTTGAGGCTGACATGGGCTGGGTCTGTCCCAAGGCCAGGAAATGAACCCAGGAGTCCTGACTTCCACCTCCCTTGCGCTGAGCCCATTGCTGCTTTGATTTCTGGCTCGCTCCTCCTCAAAGGTTTTAGCTTGGCCCAGCAAAGCGGCCGGGCCCATTTAAGCGGCGCGTGGCCGGGCTGCAAACCCAGTGGGAATAAAGAAGAGCTGGAAATGAAACCATCTGCCACCACTCCACCTACCTGCCACGTGCTGAAAGGCTCCAGCTTGAAGGAGGCCAGGCTGCAGAGCCCAGCCGCAAGGCACAGCCACTTCTGCTTAGCCAGCGAGACACTGTAGAGCACCAGGCAGTGGGTGAGGATGATCATCAGGTAGGAGGTGCCCATGGTGCCCAGCACGGCCAGCATCCCATACAGCATGTAGACCACAGACCTGTGCTGTGAGCAAAGAGAAAGTGTTTCGCACCAGGCTGCACCACCATCACACCCAGCATCCTTCAGCAACACCTGGACTGACTCCTAGAGGTGTTGGGGGAATCTCGGTCCTAGCAAAGTCACCAGTAAAGCTCCCATGGACTTGAACAGTGATAATAAGGTGTCAGCCAGGGTGCATTTAGCTTAGGATGTTGCTGTACAAAAGTTTCCCCCTTGGCAGTGCTCAGTATATTCATCCTCACAACACACCTATCAGATAGGACAGTGCCGTCACTATTACCTTATGGATGGGAAGACCCAGTGATTTGTCTGCGGTCTTCTGGGTTTGTGGTCGGTCCTTTTCTCCAGCGCACCTTCCTTCCTCCCCAGATTATAGTAACCCTGCCCTGTACCTAAAGTATTTATAATCAGCCCAAGTACACCATGGTTGCATCACCACGAGACGCTGACTGCGCAGTTCTTACCGCACTACCGTACTAGTATACACCGTACTAGTATACACAAGTACTAAATGAGTGTGTGGTAACCAGAGTTAATGCACAGTAGTGTTGCCGAACAGCATTTAGGTGATGCTGACTGCGCAGTAGCTCGGTACTACTGCGCAGTAGTGTTGCATCCCACTTTGTGCCACTCACTGCTAGCGGTCTTGTGTAGACGCGCCAATGGGCAACAATCCCGCTGTGTGTGTTTGTCCTGATCAAATAGAAGGTGAAGAGAAACCAGCCCATACGGTGTGATTAAAAAAGACACCCCCCCCCCCCAAACAACCGGCCCCCAAAATAAAA